CATATGGTATGCAAACTAGTTACCAGACAAATATTATGCAAAATCAAACAAAATAATATTTCTATAAGATCAGTATATCCTGACAATTTCACACTCAACTAGCTTATGCCACACTAATTACTTTAATAAATAAATGAGTTTATTCTTAGAAATACTCAGATATGATTACAACAATTAGGCTTTCCTATAATATGAGAGTTGCAGTTATTCACAGTTAACTATAAAATACTTTATTTTAGCTGGAATTAATTTTCGCTGAAAAGACCCATTTTATGAGTGTTTTTCACTTAATTGAACATAAAATATAGGAGGAAAGTTATATAATAAGAAAGGACATTTTACCAAGCATTTATTACATGTGTTTTACGTTTCCAAATATTGTGTTAATCTCTGTTCACACAATTAAACTTTTCAGTGATAACTACATTGTGTGAAGCCATTGTACGACACATGTTTAATTGACGTTCAATTGGCGTGCATAATAAACTATGATATCATCATAGTTGTATACGACCAACCAGGGACTTCATTTAAACGACCTGCAGAGACAGGTGGGTCTTTATATGGAGGTAAGATTATTTTTTTATTGATTGTCAACTTGTACATTTAAAACAATATTATTCATTCACAAACTGATAAGATAATAATGTTGTAACTAAAACATTTGTTTTAAGGTTGGGGAAATTAAAATTTGTTTTATAAAAAGAATGCTGCTTATTTTTTTGCTTTCCAAACAAAAGCAAATCTGCAAAAATATTCCTGAAAAGGTGCTCAAAGAGGACAAGGTGTTAATACTTTATACCTTGTGACTACCTAAAAGCAGTCACTATGGAGATACAGTTGATCTTTGTACACAGGTGGTCACTAACGCAGGTTTGATGTACACTATAGTTGCGTTCACACACAGCTCCTTAGCACGGGCTAAGAGGTCAAATTCCTTAGCCCGTGCTAAGCAAACGTGCGTGAACGCTTAGCACGGGCTAAGGAATGCTAAGTACGAGTTAAATCTGATCCGAATTTAAGACGCGGTCTAGACCCTTAGCACGGGCTAACGATGTGTGCGCGAACGCTTAGCCCAGGGCTAAGCACCCTCTGTAGCGACCTATGGTGTGAACATTATGCATGTGATCAAATATATCTAACTTTCTCATTCCCAAAATGGTAACCGAGCTCAGTGTACACGCTTCCACACTGATCAGGTCGCTGTAGTACAGCGTACAGCAGCTCCAATCCTAGACAAAATAAATTTGGTTCGCTGTCTACGACATGCATTAATAAAACTCTGTATTCTGTTACGCCGTTGTATACTGTTTCTGTGCATCCAAATAAGTTGGGCCCGCCTTCTCTCGCGTTTCTATGCACGTCGCTTCAAAATTAGAACGAAACATTTCAGCAGCAGAAATAGAACCTCGCGCGTGTCATCCATTTTTCGTTCGTAAATAGCGGCTTGCCAAAGGTCACCGACTGATGGCGCCCTTTAGCCCATGCTAACGACTGGCCCTCCTTGTGCGTGGACGCAATTGGGTCTAGCCGAAATGCAAATATGCTAGATAAGCCTA